CTCCTAAATCACTCGTACGCACAACTTAAGAACAAATCTGTGCGTACGAACGGTTCTTGTATGAGGCCCAATTTTTAAAGACTACTTTGTTTCTTAGGATTTAAATTTCCCTTTAACGTTGTTGTTCCTTTGTACTGTTGACGAATACGTAATGTGTTGTTGCAGCTACTTTGTAGATGCTATAGTAACTCTACAATCTGCCACAGATGGTGTGTGCTCTGGGCTGGAAAGACAAGATGTGGTGGTTGGGTTTTTACCAGCTTCTTGTTGCCATGCAGTGACTGAGCTACAGCAGAGACTGACTGATGTCTGCCCACAGGGACACCTGCTGGTCTGATTTACCTAACTAATGACGACAGGATGTGCACAGCACGTGTGTGTGTGAGTGAAGGAAGCATCGAGTGTTTGCTGAAATAGTCAGATTGGAAAGATGAAAATAAGTACTGGATATGAAAAGCAGAGGAAAGCTTAGAAAAAACCCATAAAAGAAAAAAAAACAGTAGAAAGGGGCTAAAGGCAATAAAAGGGCACAGCTGGACGATGAAGAAGAGAAATGGAAAGCAGGACAGAGAGCAGTCAGTGTGTGTGGGCGTCATCATTGAGGAGGGATTTTGACCGCGAGGGGAGGGCATCAAGTGCAGGTGGGGAAGGGAGAAGCAGCGAGGAGATTAGAAAAGAGAGTCTGAGTCCATAACAACTGTCTGCTGTCCTCTTGACACCCACCCCCACACCTCCCCCTCTCAGTCTCCCAGCGCAGTCAACAAACAGCCTGCAACTACTGACCCACACAGACACAGGCAGCCCAGACACTGGCAGCCAGGGAGGACTGGCCAATCTGTTGGAGCCATAACAAGCCTCTGAACAAGGAGGAGATWAAAGACCTAAAAGTGTAAAAACTGAGGTAAAGAATGGTGAACTCAAACCAACAATCTGTGGTTCCTGTGATTTATGAACTTCAGATCTGAGAGTCAACTGTGGAATTCAACCCTTCTCTATCGCTCCACACAGCTTCGCTTTGAAGCGAGTCACCTCCCAGCAGCGACTCAATCTGGCGTCCGTCCAGCTCGGCTCCGTTGTCCGACAGRAAAGGAAGAACCGGCTTTTCCACCTGCACGCGTGCAGGACGCACCTGGGCTGAAATGAGCAGCTGCAAATGTCAAAACACGTCCTCCCTCACAACAAAAACAGTCCTGCATTCCTGTGTYATTAAAAAGTCTGGCACGTCTCAGAAGGAGGCGTTATGTGTTGGCAACAAACTGATACCCATCAAGCATCCCTCGCAYGGCTGAACTGACGGCACACGCTCTACCACTCTGCAGAGAACGAGTTATAGAACGTTACAAAGCCAAGCAGAACCATTTATCCCACTGTTACACTAGTTTTTTAGGTGACTCATAAGAAACAGAAAGATAGTAAGAAAAAGCTTTAGACAGAATTTATTTTAATGAGTGGATTATCAAACAGCAACAACAAAATTAAACACGAGAAAACGCATTTTCTGTAAAAATCCAGASTGATAAATGACAGCTGAAATTTGGTAAAGAATCAACTTTGAATCGTTAAAGTTAAAAACAAGCAAAACCAAAGCTAGAATCAGTGATACAGG